ATCACCCGTTTTCGAGAATACCACCCGTCTCCAGTCACCCATGAAAAACGGGTCTTTGACGGGTGATTTTTGCCAGGGGCTTGACGCCTGGCTGGAAAACGGGTGATTATTTGCTGGGATCAAGGTTTCCCAATCCTGTTAACATTGGGGAGGTAAGAATTTGGCAGGAGGTGAGGGTGGATGGGTGGTAGTTTATTGGGGTATGGTTTAACGGGGTTTGACTGTACCACCTATTTTTTGAATACAAAATCAGAAATATTACCAGAAATAGTACAGTAAAATAATATATAATGATTTGCAACCAAAGCAGTTCTATATTGAACTTTTCTCTACAGTATGTTATGAGTTTACCTATAATTTTCTGGATTAAATTTTTTAATAAGGGGAGCCTTTAAAATGTTAGTAAAACTTTGCAAATTTTGTGCCTTCCACTAATTCAGCTAATTCAGCCTTCACGTGGACACCAAATCAATGAAGATAAGGGCTCATGGTGCCCTGCTGCGGAATGCTACATGGGAAGGCAAAATCAACAATATAGTTTTATTCACATTGTGGCACGACATACCCTATAGCTTTTCGCAGCTAACAACATGTAAATTGCAATGTTTGGGTTTTTCTCAACCTTTTGGCCTCATTAATTTTAGGTAAAAATTGCTGATTCTGCAAGGTTTTCTCTGATGCACAGCTACTGCATTTTAATTGTTTTGAAGTGAAGAAAAACACAGTACAGTACAGTATTAGTATTCAATTTTTGAGATGTTTTCCATTTGTTGCCTACCATGAGAAATGCGTTGAGTTGGTCTCATTGAAGATAGAGAAAATGCAATCAAATTTGCAGATGTTCAGAGACATTCTAGAAAAATAATTAAATCTGCATCTTGCAAGGCGACACATTGCTCTTCATTATAATTCGAAAATTGCTTGCCTGACTTCCATGCATTTTTGTCCTCTTTATGCATTGTGAATCTGAAAAGTTCCATGATAAGAGTTCAGTATTGTATATAGATTTGAATTGGCTTACAAGTAAAGATATTGCAGTACTCAATCTGTTGCTACTTATGTGTGTAATGAAATATGGATGAATAAATGAACTGACATCCATGTTGCAGCCTGATTATTTCAGCCGAATAAAGCAAAGCTTCTTGCTGTGAACGCGGACAGCAAAAAACTTCATGTCATGCATATGCTGCTCATGGGTTTATATATTTGCTGCATGATTACTGTTCACGACTATATTTACTCTGAATAACTGAACTCGCACATGGCTCCTTTTTTGTTCAGAGTCCGAGAATGCACAACCTGCTTTTTGAATAAACGAGCTGCATCGCTTTCAACCGGAACACTTTACATTTGATGGGGAAAACTTTATTCATGGATCATCCCTTTAAATTTTTTTTTGGATAGTGCTCAAACAGCACAACCCCCTTTAATAGTAGCAATATTTTAAACCTTCAATCCACATCCTAAAATCCACAGGTCTAAAACATCAATCCACATTGTTTCAAAGGAGGCTATGCTAAAATTCAAGCCACCCCCCATTTTCAAAGATATTGTTTGCAGCGATCATAACCGACTTAGAATATTTTAAACCTGCAAGTCAGGCTTTCTAAAAATATTGAGATGAAAATAGTCTTTGAAATTGGGGTTTAATCTTGATTTTTTTCTAAAATTCTGCAAAAATGGGGTTCAAAGTCATTTGTTTTAGGATACGTGCAGCAGCGGCTGGTTAAAGTGGCTTCTAAGGAGGTTAAGTAAATGGAAAAAGTCTTCAAAAATGAGTTTTCACCTTGATTTTTATAGATGGAGGATTGCAGGTTTAAAACATTGCTTCTGTGGGGTAATATAGTCGTAATACCCACATAAAAATTTCATCAACAATAATTGGCTTTGCTTTGAGAAAAACTTTCTTGGAATAAACGTGGATTGATGGTTTAAACTTTAAAGCATTATTGCTACTAATGATGGGGGTTACAATTAAAGCAAAACATCTTTTAAATGTGTCTGCTTTAAGCATAAATTGTTATAAATTTTTAAAAATTGCATTTGAGTGGGTTGAATTTTTGCTGTGAGCATAATAACGCCCTTGACCCAATTTTTTAAAACCTGCAATCTATCCTCCCAAAAAAATTATGTTAAGACCTACAGTAATTTTAAAACATTTTGAACAAAAACCCCTGAAGCTGGAGACAATAATGTTTTAATACATTTCAACCAGCATTTCACACAAAAATTCTGAGTGTAGATTTTTTGGGATCAATATACTTCAAAAGACAATTTACCCCAAAAAGGGGTTTTCATCTGGATTATTAATACATTTTTTATCGCAGATTTAAACATTTTGTCTAAGGGGGTCTTTTATGTTAAATAGCATGAAAATCTTAATGAAATATAATTTTTGTGTATAATTTTTACAATTTTTTTCATTTTTCACAGCCATAATAGAGCTGATATCGAAACGTTTTTAAATTTTTGAATAATTCCCAATTTTTTATTGAAAAACGTTTGTATTACAAAGTTCGTTTGTAGTACAGGAGGTTGAAAAATCAACCAAAACTAATGGTACAGTACCACGAAATGTTCCTAGCACAAAGTGTTTCCTGTGCTGTGACCTACGACGAGGTACAGTACCACTATACCAATGTAAACAGCATCTATGCAGTATAACATTATATTGAAGTGCTGGTGAATTGGAAACAAATAAAATCCGCACAACATTTAAATGTATGTCAACTGATGGTGTACGAAAGGAAATGCTCTTCAGACAACTGCATGATGGACATTTCAAGCGAAGTACAGCAGTAACAGTGCTTATAGCAACGCCGTTTCTATAGCACTGTATGCATGCAATGCAGTGAGTGGAATACAGTATTGTACTGTGATAAGCTGTATACCTCCTTCACATAAATGAATCCTCATGCCATCACCTGAGAAGCTGAGGTATGTTTGCTATTGTGGTACCTTCGAATGCAACTGCATGGAAAATGGCGGCGTTCATGGGATACCTAGTGAATGCAGGTCACGTTCCCTGAATGCGCGAAACGCCAGGGAAGTTGTGATCGTCCTGATTTCTGGTTTCCTGTCGACCTTTTATGGACATGCGCGTCGGTATCTGGACCCTCCATCAGAGAACCCGTTCTGGGTTCCTGATACCGTCTATAATTCTGTCCGCTTCCAACCGTTTTCCCTTCGACCCGTTGTGCTCCCCGTCGACCACTGGCTCAATTCCAGTTGTAAATCGCTTATTTTTGTTTCGGACTAGTGTTGAACATTCTTGAGTAAGGACCGTAATTTAAAGGTCATTACCCTGTCAGAGTAGTCGTGCATGAAGTCTTATGTACTTGCTATCCTCAGAATTCATCTTAATCGGTTTCGGTTATTTCAGAGGTCATTCCCAAGAGATCCTTTAATTTTTTGAGAGGCTCAATTCAAGAAACGAATGTTTGTTAATGAGCACGACCGATGTGACTGAGGAAGAAGAGTGGTTGAAAGTGACTTCGTTTACAGGTGATCGCCGTCTTCCTCGCTTGAATTAGGAAGCTTCGTAGGAGGCTTGTTTTTGAAGCCAGGATTTACCTCTGGATGAGAGGGCCGCATGGTTTAATGAAACGGAGAAAATTAATCCAGCCAATCCAATGAACCTTCGGTATTGTGTACCCTCGATAAGTGCGTTCACCGTGAAAGGTTGTGCCCTCACAGCCAGTGTTCGAATGTATCGCATCAATTCTCTCGTGTAACTCCGATGTTGCGATCCCTTAGCATGCAGTCAGTATAAGGTATTACCGGAACAAAACCAGTGATCGTGAATCTCACCGAAGTTAGTGTAACATATGCGATCTCAAGACGTGTAACGCACAGCTTTCAAGATGAAGTTGGACGGCATCGTCATTCTCCGCTACATAGTCATTGGTGAGACCTTTCGGAGTGTAGAAGACGCTTGGATTAAAGAATGTTACTCGTTCTAGTAGTGGGATTGGCATGCGTCTTAGATGGTGTTGAAGGAACACCCAAAAAAGGTGGTAAGAGTGGAGGAAAGAGCAAGGTCTCCACCATAAAAAAGGGAGTCGCTGTGGCTGCCGGTGCTGCAGGGGCTGCATATGTGGGCCACAAGATAAAGAAGAAGATGAAGCACAAAGGAAAATTCGGAGATGATGGTGAGCTACTTCTCTTGTTGTGATCGTTTTTTTTTTTCGATTTAAAAATGTTCCTATGATACCAGTGCTTCTGTGGTTGCCAATCTTTTGAAGCAACTCTGTAGACTCCTGGCGTCACGAAGGCAGTCCAATTCAAGTGACCTTGTTCCTGTAATTTTTGAAGACGACAATGCAACTGATCGAAGTGTCTCACGTTTTCTTTAGATGTTAAATTGTGGATCCCGGATTATCATGGTTTGATTGCTAACCACAACATTCTAAACCGAAGAAAGATAATTTTCTTAGTAGATTGCTTACTGCAACAGCACCGATTTTTGTATAATTAACAGTGCACCTCTCTTTAAGCTGAATATAAGGCAAGCTGATTTTGAAGTTCTGCGCATGGTGGGGGATGGGTTTCGAGTTCACAATCCCACTCGAGTGGATTATACAATTCTGTTATGTTGTGTTTTTACAAGTGCTGAATATGAGTCGGCGACGATGATTGTATCAATGAATTCTGAACGGGGAACAGGGACATTTGATCGAAATGGCGAATTTTAACATCATGGAGTAATTTTATCTTAGACGGTCTGCGATGTTGGCTGTGCGGAGTACCCGGGTCACGGATGTGTCCGCAAGGGGATGGCATCGTATATAGGCGAAACATGACCGATGATGATAATGACGCAGAGCGCAGACGGTTGCCTGGGGATGATGACGACGACGACGATGACGAAGATACGTACGATTCCTATTTCGGAGCTGTCAACTACTGTCCGGAGCATGCCGACTCCTGCTTGACTCTCTACACTGACCATTCCAGAGGTAAGCGAGATTTTTATTCGTCGAATTTCATTTTGGTGGATTCGCTTCCCTCTGGTTTATTTTTCCTCCATTTACTCTCCATGGAATAAACGACCCTTGAAAGAAGCTAAGTAACGATTTCTTTGACGGACGCTACTAAAGGCAGTAGACTTGATGCAAGCAAAAATGTCGTAATCGTGGTGCCTGGTGGCGACAGAGATTCAACTGTCGTGGCAGTGGATTTCCGAAAAATTGTTATCGAGAAAATAAAGGTATAAGATTACACATGTGAGAAATCATCCACGTAGAAAAAATGACTTCTTTCTTTCCGCAAAAGTGCGTCCGTATGCGCAGCGTTGTAGGCTTAAATTTGCAGTCTCTTGCGGACATTTCTCAATGGAGAACTGCGACATTGAACTCAGATCTGAAATTTTTTTTGGGAAGCTCACCGGTTCTTTCACTGTACAGCAACTGAATTGTCCTTCGCAACTAGAATTTCCCTCGAAAAGTTATGTCGCTGAAAATGGTCGTGTGCTCGTGTCGTTTATCCGAAGAGTACGTGGTGTAGTTAAAAATTCTCTTTCCATGAGTTCATCTCGATTTGTTTCCGAGAAATTGGAGTCATGTTGCCCGAATGTCTTCCAGATGGTGAAACTTTAAAGTTTACGAAGACGAATGAAGCTTGTGTGAGAATTGGATTGGATTATCGTGGTGAAAATTGTAATTTACTTGGGTCAGTAATTAAGAAGTGAAAGTGTTTAGAGAGTTGTGCATGGACATAGTTTCCCGCTATGTTTGCTGCACTGCTTTGAATGGTACTTTTCAAACAGCTATTCTCAGAAGCCCAAGTCATTGGTAAGTTCATGGAAGACTTGTATCGATTTTGCATCCTAAAATTATCCATCCATGTCTACATCTTATAATCAACGAAAGCTAACGGACAAATGAATCAGCATTTCAAAGCTTTGTTGCAATACTCTTAACTGGCGAATGTAGTATTGAAAGCTCTTGGTGTAAATCAATCTGAAGTTCAATGTACTGTATGTACTGTACCTTGATGCTTCAATTCTTTCTCTCTCTCTCTTTTTTTTTTTTATAGAAAAAGTGCTTATGAGGAACTGCTTTGACGAAGGGTTCTTCGGGTGCTACGATTCGGTGCAAGGCCTTTCAGGGTTCGCGTGCTTCTGCAGACGTGACCTGTGCAACGGAGTAGCATCTCTGGCACCGCTGAGCCTCATGATGGCCGTCGTCTTCGTCCTGCATTGGGCCTAAGTGGTACTTCTACAAACCCCACCCTGGTAGCAGGCTTGTTCGAATGTATATTTTTGGGGTGTGATAATCTCTGAATCTGTCCCACTTGAGAACCCGTCTTTCAGAGACTGCCCTGCTGCCAGTGCCCGAACCCCTTGGGCCCAGGTACCTGATGAACATCTGTGTTTCCTGGGTAATTTTGTATAGTTTGGGTTGACAATCATTTCGGCTCTGGTTTTGGCAGCAGGTTTGTGGGATCTGTCCAACCGTTTTGCTGGGTCCGAATGTCCTGGTTTTTTTTTTTTTTTTTTTGAAACCTCCCACCCCGAGCAAGTAATGGGCCTCGAAGCTTCGGAAAACGCCAATTCCTCCGAGTTTTTTCAGAAAATGCTGTGTTTGTGTTACTGAAATATTGTGTATACTGTACTACTGTTCAAGAACAAGTCACTGATCTTTTCTACGCGCGATTTTAGATATTCTTGGGATCATATCTGTGATCAGGAGTCTGCCTAAATTGCTCTATTCCCTGCTTGCAACAGCTCAAGCATTTCCAACCGAAGATCAAACTTGAATTGACCTGGGTGAACTCCGTTCGTTAATGTTTTTGAAAGCGTTATCATGATTCGGACCTACGCTCTTCGAGATCTGAGGTAATGTAGGATCATGTTCGACTTTCATTCGGATTTTTCGAGAACTTCGGTAAACCAATCTCTGTCATAATTCTTTTTCCTAATTGCTCACTTCGAAAGTGCTGAGCTAATCGCTGAGTTGAATTAAATGAATCGTATGTGTACCAGGATTTTAAAAATTTTGAATGACTGTGAAAAGATGGATAGAATATCTTCTCGACTTGAGGTGACGCTGTGGAAAGGATTTTATTGTTCTCTGTTTTTTTTCCGAGTCGAGAGAAGAACATTTTGGTCTGCTATTGTATCGCCAAGAAAATCAATGTTTGAATCCCAGCGTTGATCAAAAACTGTATCCCTTGGAATGTTATGAAACGTGGGCAAGTTGCGCTTTTTCAAGGTTATTTAACTATCGTGATGGATGATGGACAAGCCAACCCAGCAAATTGGTTCGACCAAAGCCTGATGCTGCTTCGGTGGGCGAGGAGGCCATGATTGTTTTCTTCGGAAAGAGACAGAGCAGAGGAGAAAGAAGACTAGCGTTGAGTGTTGAGGCTTGCTTAGGCCCTGGTGATTCTGGCTACTTTTAGGACCTAGTTGCGAATGTTGTACGTGGTCCAAGCTAGTATTTTCGACTAGGGTTGTGTTGCTTTCACACGGGTTTCTTGTTCGGACATCGCTTCGGGTGTGATCCCTTCGACAGTTTTATTTTGTTGATTGTCTGAATACTCAACTGCATTGCTGTCTTCTCCAGGGGACTAGGTGGACCTCCGCAGTGACTTCACACTCCATTTTCCAAGATTTTTTACTTCAGCTCATGTGTGCCAATTAGGGTTACCCTCCAAGCCACAGACTGCAATTGTTTGTTTGTTTGTGGATCCTAGATTTGACATTTTAATTGAAGCGTTAGTTGCCTGTGGCCAAGGTGTATGGCGAACCTGATGGGTTATATATTTGACATCCTCATGATCTGATTTCTTATACTGTATCTTAAGAGCGCTGGTTTAGTGCTACGTGAACAGTGCAGGTGGTCAAATACGATCATACCCCGAGCAAACTTCAATTATATTCCCGCAGCGAAGGTTTTCTTTCTGGTGTTGTGACAGTGTTGAGATTTTGCTGACCTGTAAAGGATGTTTGAGAACGTCTGAGGTGCTTGAAGGGTAACATGCTGTTAAGAAATGTGGTTGGTAGTGTGGTTGGTGCCAAGGATTGTATAGCTGAGGATTCGGTGTTTTAATGTTCGGAAACTTGGTGATGGATTGTACTCGGAACAAATAGCTGAAGTTTGTATGTGTGTTTGTGGATTTGAGTTCATTTTTCGTGAATTGGGTTACCAGAGGAGTAGGTGCCAAGCTGGAACATGGAGTGTGAAAGAAGTCTTAGTTGCAGTCCAGAGTGGTGGGACAAATCTGGACCAGGGTGACTATTATTTTTAATCTGTATTTTCGTATGCTTAGGAAGACTTAGGGCTTAGGGACTTGCGGGCTTTCTACCCCATAGCTGCTTGGTTTTGCGTTTGCAAGTCCTTCCTGCCCTGGGGGCATAGTGGATGTGGACCAAGGTAGGCCCAATTACCCGGTTAGGTTTGAACCAAGCGGTGAAGGGGTGATCTGTGTTGAATTTAACTCCGTGGTGTGGGGATTTGAGTTGCTGTCTGTTCACAGGGATTTGGCGTGCATCTTAATATACCTTATACGCTGCTGAAAAATCGTCATGGGTTCTGTCATTTCAGTCTTGAGTTCGAGGTTTTGGATAACTGTGTCGGTAGTTTGCTAAACGTACTGTATTAATGCATGACGTTTTAGTGCATGGTGTTTAAATGCAGTAGTTCCTGCGCCCTTGAGAACTGCTGGGTCCATGTGATGCCCCGTCGTACTTCGTCACGTGTGGAGAGTTCCTCAAGTATGATCTGTAGCTTTTTTTACGGTAGCGTATGAGTACTGTACTACTGGAACCAGTACTCGTACTAGGTACATTTTTATTTGAGAATGACGTTCCTGCTGTGTTTCTTTTTCTCGTTCAGTTTTTGAACCTACCCGAACGATCGGTCCAAAATTTTCATTTCATTTTGCTTGAGTTTACCCAAGAATTGGCACAAAAAAAAAATACTGACCTCTCAGTTAGCTGTAAATGAATGCTCAATTTGTGGTGCAAATATTTTGTTCCTCTGGTAATTCTTGGATTAGATGCCTTGAGTGGAAAGATAACGTTTCTTCCAGTATTGTTTTTTTTTTTTTACAAATTTGTGCGGTGACCTGTGTATTGTTTTTATGAAAACTGGATGAAACTGAGAATTCGTCGAGAGCGTTGCGGCCAGTTTTAATTTAGGACCGCAAGCGTGTATGTGATCCAAAGTTTCGCAACTTCTTACCGCCGACAATTTTTTGGAACAGTTGTCTTTTTTCGTTGAATAGGTTGATGACCTTATTTCGGGTTTCACGTGACGATTGCATCTGCCGTATTTAATTCTTCCAGTGGCGAAATCTAGTTCATTCCTCTTTGAGCAGTTCGTTTTGAGGTGTATTGATGTCAATTGAATATGAATGCTATTTAGGAGGCTTTATGATTGAGGTTACAGCATTTTCTCCTGTGTAGACTCTGTGCTGATTCAAGGTTATTTTGATGGCCTGTGTAATTTTTGAACTCAAAGCGAATTTCGATTGACCGGAGTTCGGCTGTTTTTTGTGGAAAGGACGCCGTGATGAAGAGCGAAAGAGCATTTGGGTGCGAGAACTGTCAACCTGTGCATAACGAATGCATTTCCCGAAGGTCGCACAAATGTGTGGAACTGTGGTGATGGATCCTTGAAAGCGAAGTGACGGGGAGGTAGTGAATATTGGATTATTCTTGCCTCCATTTTAGTCGCAGCGATGCTGGTATGATAAGGACGTGATACTATTTTATTCCCCGATGCGTAGTTGCTTGTGCTGTTGTGAGATTTCCAGAGAAGAGCCGTGTGTGTATTCTGGCCTTTTCAGGAAGCTTATCCAAGGTTACGTCTTGGTAAATGCATCAGACCCTGATTTCGTGTGTTGTGATTTTCCGATTGTCACGATGTGAGATTTGTTCACCAGTCCTGTGTCATTACAACCTATCCCACTGATGAAACCGAGACCTCTTTGCGAAACATGTCGTGGAGTTCTTCAGCGTTTGCGTTTGTTTGTTGCAGGTTTTTTGTCTGTTCGTGAGTGTCTGTGTGTGTGTGTGTAGTTGAGTGTCGTGTTACGTGGTTGAAGTGAGGTCATGGTTTGCTCGATGGAGTCAGCGTGGATAATCGATACGTCGCTTCATGAAGACTTGGCGTGTTGGGAGGGGAAGGGGGTTGGGGTGGGAACTGGGACTTCGGATCCAGGTACCGAAGAAGTAGGTTTTCCTCGCCTGGGACCGAACTGTTTCTGATACTGGGTTCTCTTCAGGCCATTTTGCCTCTCGGGAGAGTGAGTAGTAGTCATAGAGTACCGTACATGATATGGAAGCTGAGTCAAAAGCTGAATCCACTGAAGCAGACGGCGAAGAATTTTCTTTCTCGGATAAGTCAAGTACAGCGGGTCCCCGCATAACGAAACTAATCCATTCCTGGATGCGTTTTGTTTTGTGAATGGTCGTTTGTCAAGACGCGATTTTCCTTGACGTTGAATCATGAATAATCTAATTTTTCGAGGCACTCACCAACGAACGGACCATCATAACCCTTGAAAACTCCTCATTTTCAACAGCCCAAGTATTTTTATTTAGTATTTTACGCTACATTTTGTTTGTTTGTTTCAGATTGAAGATGGGAAAAATTGAGTAGGTCTTGACAAAAAGGAGAACAGGGAACCTATGAGTGCGGCTTCAGTGCATTACTGTCGGAATTCCTGCATTTACGGGATGGACTTCGCTAGTACTGTACCAAATGTACCCGAATTACTGTACAATATTGGAATTTTTTGTGCGTTGCGTAAATTTTCTGGAAGACAATTTCGTGTAAGTTCACTGGACTATGACGCATTGACGTTAGTTCTGTGTGCCTAGTACATACCGCATGTGACATATTCACGTGGGTACCACGCTTATTATTTTTTCTGAAAAATCAAAGCAAGGCAAAAAAAGTGGGGTGTGCGTGGTATGATGGGATTCCTTTTGATTTGTTGAATCAAAAGGAAAAAAAAGAAACATGTGGTGCGAGCCATTCTCTGTATTTTACTTCGAAATAATCAACCTGGAATTCTGAATCTTATCAAAATGCTTCATCCCCGTAAATTTTTAGAGATCATTTTGTCTAACCTTATGACATTGTATTTGAAACCAAAATTAGATTTCGAATAATCGAAAACTTGGCATTTGTGTCTCATGGACTGATGGAGGGAAACATTTTTTGGGCAAATTCGGCATAGAAAGATAAGGTGCGTGTTTCACACCATGGCACGTGATACTTGAGTAAATGTAGTGCTCAGGTACTACGCCGTCCACGCGCTTGTTTTTTTCCGAAGTCAAGAGCGCCAAAATGTGTGTTAGTTATAGACTGTGCACACATTTTAGTTACGTATCATAGCTCACCTGAACATTTTGAATCTGCAGCAGATTTTGTTTGGATATGAATGCATTCAAAAGAATATTTCATCTCTAAATTTTTGCTGGGTTATTTTTTTTCCTCACGCAGCAATGTTTTCCCATTGCGGATATCTCAGGAATTTCGTGACTTACACCCCTTATGGAATGTTCTGAAGAAGCTCAATGCCCACTCCAAATTTCGAAGCGTTTTGGAAATCCGCAGTTGGCCTACAAAATGAGGTTTTCCGAGTAGAATGTTTACTTCCTTACCACACGCCCTGGTGTAAGGTGCACACCTTACTTTCCAGGCCTAAAATTTGGAGAAAAATGCATCCCCGAATAAGATGCATACCCCTCTTCCGAGCCCACAAAAAACAGAAATATTGCAAGTACTGTATAGACTGCGGAGAAAATTCACGTTAGACCTGAATTGAACTTGAATTCAGTTGCCCTTTAATTCTTCTTGTCTTCGTTTTACATGAGTAACAAGTGTCTCTGATCTTCATGAACAATTTACCTCTAAAAACATTTGCTGAAGTATGATGTAAAATTTCCTCGAACTGGAGAGCCACGTTTACAGCATTTGAGTACCTGACTTGCTTGTATAGGGTGGGACATTTTTCTAGCTGAAAATTCACAGGAAACTCCTTACATGAAGCACACTCTCTCAATTTCAATTAAAAAATATATTGAATGACAGAGTATGGCACGAACTGCTGTAATTCGAAGCAATGCGGTTCAGCCTTTTGTTGAGTCTATAAAGTAATTGCTGTAAAACCCCCTATTTACTCAGTAGATTACCCTAGACCTAGAACTTCCTACTTTCAACCAGTTTCACATCCTGTATTCTCTACATTGGAGGATGGAAACCAATTTTCGAATTTCTCGTTCAGAGCATTTTTTATGTTCGTTTTTTTTGGGGTGAGGCATATGATGGCGTTCAGTTCCCCATACCTCTCTGACGCTACTTTAATTTTTGGTGTCGAAGTTTCGCGTAGATCGTACTGTAGTTTCGTGCGTATTGTACATTTCGTATGCTAACCTACATTTTCGAAACCTTGGAAATTTCGCGTAGATTTTAGAAAAAATATGATCGTGAGGAATTAAGGTAGATGCAAGATTGACCCAAACGAGACAAATAATTGCCGCGCTAGCGTTTCAAGTTTTTTGGTTAAAGACTTATTTGAGATGTTCGGAAAATGTCCTTTTTACAATATGTGATAGGATGTCGTTACAGGGGAACGCTTGGGACCTGGAAAAAAGTTCACTGTGAACAAAAATCTGCCGGAAAACAAAAACGCAAATTCGTTGAAAGCAATGATTCGTTATGACGAAATTAAATTTTTTTTAAACCAGATTCTACTCTGTTTTGTTTGCGATTCTGATTCCAAGGTCAAGTCGGAGAGCTTTTCAAATGCCCTTCTACAGTCAAACTCCGATTAATGTCACCATTCGTCCCAGGATATTTTGAGGAACTAGGCGAGGGTGTCACAAGATCAAGTGTACAGTACTGTAAAAATCCAAGGTTTTGTAGAATTTTACCATGTAGAAGAAGAAAATTGTGATGGCATGAATGTGCTTCTGATTATAATTTAGAGGGTACTACTCCACAAAAAACTTGGTTTAGTGCTGTTCTGATGAAATTTTGCGACAATCTTTCATGGCCAGAGCCACTGCCAGCTTTCAGGTGCCCTCCACAGAAGATAACACCTACTCTTGATCAAGACCTTCCAGTTATATACTGCTTATATAATGTGTTATCCCTTATGGAAACCCATGTTTACATGAAGGCTCCGTCTTCCTAAGTTTTTCAAGACAGGAAGGTGTTATGCAGGATCAAATAAATTTTGACTAGAAAAATTCAGAAATGGACTGTTCAAAATCATATGGCATTTTATGTCAGCATGGACATTTGCAACACAGTATCAACCTAACAATGCTCAAAGAAAAATGTCTCAATTTCTTTGATTTCAAGCCTAATGTTCATCCAGGATGACGCATCTTCTGTGGCACCAAGTTAGTTGTGGTTCCCCGTAAGATCACAATTTATCGAGTACGGTACTGTACAGTACAGTATTTGAATCAAACTTTTTAAAAGTTTTTTTCATCATTGCGATTCCCGAATCACGCCATGCCATCGTTTTTCTCAACATTGAAAATGTTATATCTGTCCGTCATGATTTGAGTGGATCCAGTGAAGGTTTTATTTTGTGTTAGCTTGGTGTCTCAGACAACATCTGGTCGATATCCCAGAAATCAAGGTTGGGCATTGCAGTTGGAAGAACTGGAAGACTTCGTATGGTCTGTTGGCAAATCTGTGCTTGTTGGGCTCGTAATCTACGCCAGATGTTGTTCTAGTTTCCAGAGCTTGACCTTGTTCGGAGTCCTGCTCCCAGCGTCTGCAAATGGCATAATTGAAAGCAAGTGCTCACTGAGGATAATATCGTTTGTAGCAGGAGTCGTCTGCGAGTTAGATGAAGCATACTCTTCGCCTTGCAGATGCTGACCGATTTGAGCAGAAAACAAACGTAGTGTACCCTCAATTTAGTGCCACCCTCGAATGGTGCCATAAATTTCCCTCAATTCTGTTTTCAGTGAAACCACCTTGATTTAGTACCAAATCAGGTAGTGACACAGAAAATGCCTCACATGAGATGAGAATTGGACCAAAAATCAAAGGGAGTAAGACTTCCCTGAAAATATGATTGGGTTAATAATGAGAAGAATATTCCAATGCTCACCCAAAAGCTCCACATAATTTTGAAAAGTTGATTTCTGAAATTAAATTGTTTAAATATGTTTTTGCGTGGCACCTTCCTGTAAATATGGGTGATTCCCGTGTGATGGCTCATGATAAGAGCATATTTGGTGTCAGTGTGCTAATTTCCCAACAGAAATGTTCATACTTTCCTGAACCTCTTCAGGGATTCTAGTCTCGGCCTGTGTCTGCTTCATTCATTGAACAGCAGCACATGTTCAACCTTGTATCTCTTTTTTTTATCAATGCTGACATTCTAAATTACAAGCTGAGGGTGTCCAGCCACACCTGGGCACTGGACAAATTTTAGATTTTAAAATTTTCATCAGATCAAATGTGGGAAAGAGCATGCCCAGTTGTGTGTGGCCCAGTCACACCACTGGGCATTAAATAAAAAAATGAATCATACTAAAGCTGGTTTCTTGTTGAAGGACCACCAGTAATTTTTTAATTGTGCTCAATGTGCCAGTTGTGGCCCAGTGGGCCACAATTGCCACATGAGCAGGGTTTGTAGCAAATGCAAAGTCCCCTATATTGCCAAAGGAATAAAAACTTACCTTATTGCATTGCTTTCTGTGAGTAACTCCTTCAATGATGAAGGTTTCATGTATGGAAAGATCCCTTCCAGATGAGTATCCTCTTATTTCTCTCAGAAGAATTTGATGAGGAAATAGGAGAATATTTCAAGTGGAGAAACAACTTATCTGTTGAACAAGTTGAGTTATTTCAACTGACCCAAATGCTAATGATAAATTCACCACCTTTGAAAATTTAGTAAACTGAATTATTGTTATGAACAAAGAAGAAATAAACAATATATCAAGT